CCTGCTGAAAATCGTGCTGTGTATGTTCATGATGCATAAAGTGATACATGGAGTACCTGTGGATTCAAAGTTGCATGCTATTTAGGAGGGAAAATGAAGAAACAATCAAGCAGAAATTGTTACTGAAACATCTTATGCAGAATAATGAATAATCATTTGGAAGAAAACACATTTTATAAGGCTGATTGCTTTAAAAGTACCTTATATGAGTTACAAAATGGACGTTTATGAGATTCTCTTTTTAGTTTTCCCAAACTGAGTAAAATGACCACTAAATTCTTCACTGAAATCATACTGTCAAACCCATTAAAATAAGTCTTTGCCAAGCAAAATAGGATGCATTTCAAAACATCTGTTGTCAGAAAGGTGCTATGGGATTTTGACAAATAAACCATGTGTAGGTGATATACAGAGTGTCATGAGAGCATTGTGAAAAATGAGCTAATCGAGATGTGACAAACCATCCGTAGCATTCTCGTACAATTCAGTGAAAGAGTAGAAGTACATGTAAGATATTTGTTATGTAGAGCAGTAAAAGCTAGTCTGTATTTCTTACGGAATTAAAAACTGTTTTGCTTTGTACTTACATATGAAAAATAAGTGTCTTCCCATGTTTGAAATAGTCAGGCAGCAAAAACTAGTGATGCTGCTTTTTAAATCAAAAATATACATTTACTCTTCTACATACAAGTGTATGTGAATTAGATAAATAGAGATACACAATGTATGCACACTTAGCAACCTGTTAGCAAACTTTTGAAAATATTCAATATTTTTAAACTCTTCTAAATGCCTTTTAGTACTGTTCTTGTTCAGTGGGATTTGTTTGTGAACTGTCGTGGTTTAACCCCAGCCGGCAACTAAGCCCCACACAGCCACTCGCTCACTCCCCCCAATGGGATGGGGGAGAGAATCAGAAGAGTGAAAGTGAGAAAACTCGTGGGTTGAGATAAAGACAGTTTAACAGGGAAAGCAAAAGTCGCGCACGCAAGCAAAGCAAAACAAGGAATTCATTCACTCCTTCCCATCGGCAGGCAGGTGTTCAGCCATCTCCAGGAAAGCAGGGCTCCATCACGTGTAACGGTGACTTGGGAAGACAAACGCATCACTCCAAACGTCCCCCCCTTCCTTCTTCTTCCCCCAGCTGTATATGCTGAGCATGACGTCATGTGATATGGAATATCCCTTTGGTCAGTTGGGGTCAGCTGTCCCAGCCGTGTCCCTCCCAACTTCTTGTGCACCCCCAGCCTCCTCGCTGGTGGGGTGGGGTGAGAGGCAGAAAAGGCCTTGGCTCTGTGTAAGCACTGCTCAGCAGTAACGAAAACACCCCTGTGTTATCAACAACACTGTTTCCAGTACAAATCCAAACCATAGCCCCTCACTAGCTACTATGAAGAAAATTAACTCTATCCCAGCCAAAACTAGCACATGAACAAATGAAGTTATTATGAATACATAACATGCTAAAATTGTATGTATCCCCAACTGAATATAATTTTTTTCTGTCATTGTGACTGATTTGCTGTCCATGGTCCTTCCTTTAGGGGCATGCTAAAATGTCAACAGAAGAGTGTTTTGGGACACTAACATTTAGGAATGGTTACCTTAAAGATACATCCATGAGCTCACTCAGGGTAAAGGGTAATATTTGTATTTGCTTATATATTGGCTTTGTTGATAGGCACAATGGTAGTTTTAAACAGCTTTTCTAAAACTTTTATTAATGAATTAAACTGGCAAAGTGATTTCTGTGGGAGACTTGTCTGATAATCTACTGAGTAGATGAAACCATTTTCATTTACCGGAGAGCTTTGATTCATATTGTTTAGTATTATGATCTTTCAAATTTATTTCATCTTTATTTTGTCCTACCTGTCATCTGATGAAGAAATCACTGTCATTAATTTCTGGGTAGCCATGAGGCCAAGATCTTGCCTGACACTGATGCCAGATATCAATCAATTATGAATCATCCTGTCCTAGATTAGAGGTTGTTCAGTTATAATGGTTTAATTTATGTTAATATAATCACAAATGGAAGAATTGACAGACAAGATTTTGAGTCTTCAAGGGAAATAACCTTATATAACCTGGGGCTAACCAATAAAATGAAGAAAATACATGTCAGTTCTTCACCTCATGCAACTACAGCGCGCAGAGATTAAAAACATATGCTTGTCACTAGTGCAAATTCAAACTTCTCAGCCTGTATTTTCATCTACATACCTAGCTTCTTTGCTAATCTGAAAAATTGTCATTTGGTTAATTAGGTCCCTTGAGAGTATTCCACTGGAAAATACTCAACATTTAAATGTATTAAAAACCAAGTGTGATGTTTACTGTTTCTGTGTGCTAATACCACATTAAAACTTCTAAAGTTATACACAGAGTGTATGAATTTTGGAATTTGAATTTTGGCCTCTGATTTTGGACATTAATATTTATGAGAAAGAGAGATCTAGGGAACATGTTCAGAAAACGCACTGATTAGATTTTATTGCATCTACAAAGGTAATTTAATTCTCCAAAGAAAGTATTTTTGGAAAATTCCTCAGTATATCAGCTAATGTTTTGCGCCAGACGTGGGAGTGGCCCATAATCTCAGGCGTAAGATAATTCCCCATATACATAGTGCCTTAAGTAGTTTTTAGTTCTCCTACTTGTGGAATGGTGTAAGTGGAACTGAAATGGAGATCTGTGCATACGGGTGTATGTGCCTCGTTTCCCGAAGCTTAAGAAACCACATCGAATCCCAGTCAGTTAGCTCCAGCCTCGGGTGATCTGGCTTGCTCAAAGTTTCAGTGGACCAAAACCTGTAGCTGCGCTTTGCTATGTGACTGTCCCCAGAATTAATTATTCTTGGCAGTTCAGTAAAGCCCACAGCTGCTGCATTGTCTAGGTGCAAGACTGTCTATTTTTCTGGGTGTTGAACCGATGTTGCTTATTCTTCACTACTTTTCTTCAAATGATATTGATTAATCCACAACCCTTTTGGAACTATAAACCCAGTCTTAACAGTATATATATAAATTTTGAATTTTTCAAAATTTTTTCCTTCATTGCTGCTAATCTGTTCAAAGGACTGCATGATTATCAAAAATTGAAAATGTGTAAATATGCTGTATCTCGTGTAAAATATTCTAAGCATATTTAAAAATTATTTTTGAACACGTGGTTTGCTAGCCTCAGTGTTTTCTTTCCCATGCATTCAGTATTTCACATAGACCCTGTGCTTGCTGAGGGAGGCTTTAAAAGGAAATGTAGTAATGGCTGGAATGTCGGTCTCTTATTCCGAACTGGTCTTGGTGGCTCTAAAAGTGATGAATGAGACGTTTTTGAGAGGAAATGGGGAAAAATAACTTTAAAATGGTAACATAATTTTAGGGGCTATTGATTTTTAGAAATATCTTAAACATGGGTGATAGAATAGTGGGCCTTGAATGTACATGTAGTGCTGTACCAATGTTCAGAATAACTCCTGTTTTAATGTAAAGCAAGTAGAAAAACTTAACTATGCCCATTGTATGTCTTAAAATATTGTGCTAAAAGTAGAAATCAGATCACTTCAGAGAGTAGTAAGTATTTTAATTTATGAAGTTCGGTAATAGTTGCAAGTTAAGATTTCTTTGAAATTTCTGAAAGGCTTCATACTTGTTTTGGCTTGAATTCCTTGCTTGTTTTGTCTATAAAGTACTGTGGTGTTTGGGTTTTTTTGGTCAATTCTACTTCCTGATAAGCATTGGTTTACATTTATTTACCTCAGGAAATTTGCATATCTGGAGGGTATGCGAAATTGGAGGAACCCAAATTTCACTTTTCCTATATACAAACATTGCTTTTCACTATCTTCACTTGGTAATTGGAGATTTAACTCTTCATCAGTAAA